CGCGGCGAGGGGCGCGACCGCGCCGGGCAGGAACGCGGCGAAGGCGCAGCCAACGAGCACGCCGTTGTAGGAGCAGAGGCCCGCGTCGACCGAGCCGCGGTCGACGTCGAGGAGCCTCGCTGCGCTCGTCGCCGACGCGCCGCCGACCGCGGCGAGCACGGCGAGCGCCGGGTCGCCGTAGGCGAGGCCCGCGAGGACGACGTTGCCCTGGGCGGGCTTGTCGAGGAAGACGACCTGGCCCACGCCCTTGATGGACTGCGTCGCCGACGCGAGGGCCGCGTCCTGCCAGGAGCTCTTCTGCGCGAGCCCGCGCGCGCCGCGCGGGCTGATGGGCGAAATGCCGCGGCGCAGCAGCGTCGTCGCGGCGCGGAGGCTGGCCATTGATGCGAGTCGTGTGGGTGCGCGGCGACGACGAGCTGCGATAGGCTCTCGTGTGGGCACGCGACGAGCTGGGCGGATAGGGTGCTCCACAGCCTCCACAGCTCGAGCCTCGACGCCGCCGCCAAGCCGCGCCGCGGCGCCGGGGCTGGGGCCAGCAGCCCCGCCTGCTGCCCTGGCCGCGAAACCCCGTTCGGTCGACCGAGCGAGAGGACGCGGCAGGTCCGGAGGCTTCCCCGGCGTCAGACGGCCACGAGGCAGCGAGAGCGCTGGACCAGCGCGCTCTTTGGGGTTCCTCACCCCGGACGCGACGCGCCTAGGCGCTCCTCCCAGCGAGAGTCCGGTTCCCCCGTGGGTCTCGGCTAGGCCCGGGCTAGCAGTAAGCGACTCCAGGCCAGCGCGCGCGGACGCGTACGACGCCGCTCGGGCGCCCTCCTCCCCCGACGACGACGCGTCGCATTCCCATGTGCCGCGGCCGCCTCGTGTCGACTGCCGCCCCCCGCGCTTTTCGCGCGGCGCGCCTAGAGCTCCGGCGCGTCGCGCGCGCCGCCGCCCGCGTCGCCTTCGTCGCAGGCGTGCTTCCGCGCCTCGGCCTTCTCGTGGAGCCGCGCGTGGATGCGGTGCGCGGCGGACTTGGCCGCGAGGACGCCGTTTAGCGACGACGAGGGCCGCCAGACGGGCACGTCGTGGCGGTGGTCCTCGGCGAGCGCCGCCTGGCCCGTGTCGGACCCCTTGGGGTCGGTGAAGATGGGCGTCGCGGCCTCGAGGAGGTGGCCGACGTCGCGGTGCCAGCAGCCGACGGTGCCCAGGCCGCAGAGCACGACGAGCTCGCCGAGGCGGCCGGGGAAGTTCGAGAGGCAGACGACGAGGATCGTCACGGAGAAGGACGACATGGACGCCAGGAACGCGTAGAAGGCGCGCTGGCGGTACGCGGCGGTGTCGTGCATGAAGATGACCTGCG